TTTTCCCTCAATAAAACCTGACCTGACCTGACCTCCTCTTCAAGTGGGTCAGTACGGCTTATGAAATGGATTGACCTGTGTACGCTGTGTGTTTCCGCGAAAGCGGTTGGTCTAGCGATTTCCGGTCAAGATGTGCAGAATCACGAATTTGTTCCGAAAGCGGTACGCCCGAAGGGGGTGCAGCTTTCGGTTCGGGGAAGGATTGCTCCGCTCTATTGGCAAAGGTGTCCAGCAGGATGTCGAGAGGAAGTGATGCGCCTGATTTAGGTCCGGTTGGATTACTGCATTTTCGACATCGAATCTGATTGTGGTCACGAACCCAGGTGTCATCACCGACACAGAGGTTGAACAGCATGCTGCCTCTGTACGCTACTATCGTCTCTTCAATTTCAGTCTAGGAATCGTTGCAGATAGTCAAGAACGGCTGATGGAAATGACTGTGAGAACGGCAGACTAGTAGGCAACAGTGCATGGAACTTGGTTTGAAGTCTTCGGCAAGAGAAAAATCGCCAGGACACGCCTGGTTTGGGGTGGTCCCGTAGGAAAACAGAAACATCTGGAATATTTTGTCCGTAGTACCTCTCCACGAGTCTTTAAAGGAACTCGTTTAAATATGTCAACGAAACATTCCGCCTGACCGTTAGATTTTGGTTGGTACGATGGAAAAGGTAGATGCTCGATGTACTGTTGGCGACAGAAATCCTTAAGGGTCGATGAGGTAAAATGGGTGCATTATTCGACACCAGAGAATCGGGTAGGCCATTTTGGCTGAAGATGTGCTGCAGGATTGCGATAATGGTAGAGGTGGTTGAGGGATTTAGCGAAACAATCTCAGACCATTTTGAGTAGGCGTTGACCATGACCAGGTAGGCGACTCCATTCAATGGGTCAGCGACCTCGATGTGCACACGTGACCAAAGCCTGTCTGATGCTTGCCATGGTACTGGTAGTTGACGAGCGGACATTTTGGCAGCTGCACCGAACCAGGTGGATGATGTTGCTGTCAAAACTTGTAGTACAACGGTTCGAAATGAATGAGAAATCACCACATGGTCTGAAAACATGAGAGCGCAATTAACCACAGACAGTGATGCTCGACGCAGGAACAGCAGGTGAAGATTGCCAGTAAAAGCAGTGGTTGGCCAACTGGTCTGCGTATAAGTGATAGCTTGGCGAACAACGGGATCCTGTTCGATAGCGCGCTAAATGTCGACGACAGTTATAGGTATGCCTCGTATGGCGTCCGAAAACTGACGGCGCATATCGTCCTCAAATGCATTAGCAGCAATCACGGTACCTTCCTCGGGTTCCTTATAATTGCAGATGGGACGAGAAAGAGCGTCTACAACTGGACAGATATCACCATCATCTCTGAGAGACTGTGGCGCGCTGTGGCTATCGATGTTTCATCATAGCTGGTTGGTTTCCTCGCACTGACGCCTGCTCATCGATCTTACTGAATAAATACTCAGCAGCCTTTTTATAAGATGAGTAATTGTGGGAATTTGCACATCCCCAACACGGTATGTAGATCGACTGCATGGGCTGAGAAACAGCCGATCTATACATACTATGCCTACTTCTATTAAACAAGTAGACATTTATGCGAAGTAAGCGTCCGCATCAGTGAGGGCCCGACCTCTAGCGACCTGCAAACAACCGACCATGTCATGGTATCTTCCTCGTGTTCGTGATAATTGCGCGAAAGAGCGTCAGCCTGGCTAAAGTCGGTAGTGGGACAGTAACGGATATCGAAATCGTAAGCGATAAGAGTGGCTACCCATCGCTGAAGTCGACAGCTGAATGGCTTTCTCCGCACCGAAGATTTACAC